TGGATTTATTTGAGTGTCAGTGTGGATTTCTCTGACCCTGATTTGAGTGTTGGTGTGGATTTATTTGATTTAAGTGTTGGTGTGGATTTATCTGGCCCCAATTCCGGTGTCGGTGTGGATTTGTCTGGCCCTGATTTGAGTGTTGGAGTGGATTTATCTGACCCTGATTTGAGTGTTGGTGTGGATTTATTTAAGTGTTGGTGTGGATTCATCTGACCCCGATTTTGGTGTGGATTTATCTGACCCTGATTTAAAGTGTCAGTGTGGATTTCCCTGGCCCTGATTTAAGGTGTTGGTGTGGATTTATTTGATTTGAGTGTTGGTGTGGATTTGTCTGATCCCAATTTTGGTGTGGATTTATCTGGCCCTGATTTTGGTGTGGATTTGTCTGGCCCTCATTTGAGTGTTGGTGTGGATTTATCTGATCCCAATTTTGGTGTGGATTTATCTGGCCCTGGTTTGAGTGTTGGTGTGGATTTATCTGGTCCTGATTTAGGTGTTGGTGTGGATTTATTTAAGTGTTGGTGTGGATTTATCTGACCCCCGATTCCAGTGTTGGTGTGGATTTATTTGAGTGTCAGTGTGGATTTCTCTGACCCTGATTTGAGTGTTGGTGTGGATTTATTTGATTTAAGTGTTGGTGTGGATTTATCTGGCCCCAATTCTGGTGTCGGTGTGGATTTGTCTGGCCCTGATTTGAGTGTTGGAGTGGATTTATCTGACCCTGATTTAGGTGTTGGTGTGGATTTATTTAAGTGTTGGTGTGGATTCATCTGACCCCGATTTTGGTGTGGATTTATCTGACCCTGATTTAAAGTGTCAGTGTGGATTTCCCTGGCCCTGATTTAGGTGTTGGTGTGGATTGATTTGGTTTAGGTGTTGGTGTGGATTCCTCTGACCCCAATTCCAGTGTCAGTGTGGATTCCTCTGACCCCAATTCCAGTGTCAGTGTGGATTCCTCCTCTCTGGGCTCACCTCGAACACCCCGGGGGCGAACTCATCGTCCAGGTCTCTCCGTGCCCGCAGCGCCCGCGCCGCCCCCGGCGCCTCCAGCGCCGCCACCTCGAGCAGGAAGCGGGAGCTGTTCCCGCGGGGGGACACCCCCTGCAGCAGGAACTCCAACCCACAGCTCCCTGGCACCTGCTGCAGCCCGGGGGGGACACCTGCACGGCCCCAGGAGGGGAACGCTGTCACCTGGGGGGACATCAGAGACAGGGGGGACATCAGAGACAGGGGGGGACACCCCAAAATCAGGGGGGACATCAGAGACAGGGGGGACATCAGAGACAGGGGGACACCCCAAAATCAGAGGGGACATCAGAGACAGGGGGGACACCCCAAAATCAGGGGGGACATCAGAGATGGGGGGGGACATCAGAGACAGGGGACACCCTAAATCAGAGAGGGACACCTGCACGGCCCCAGGAGGGGAACGCTGTCACCTGGGGGACATCAGAGACAGGGGGGACACCCCAAAATCAGAGGGGACACCTGCACGGCCCCAGGAGGGGAACGCTGTCACCTGAGGGGACATCAAATCAGGGGGACACCCCAAAATCAGGGAGAGACTCCAAAATCAGGGGAGACACCCCAAAGGGAGGGAGGGACCCTGTTTCCCCCCTGGCTCCCCTCTGGAATTCCCTGTTTCCCTTCTGGAACTACCTGGAATTCCCTGTTCCCCCCTCTGGAATTCCCTGTTCCCCCTATGGAATTCCCTGTTTCCCCCTCTGGAATTCCCTGTTTCCCCCTCTGGCATTCCCTGTTTCCCCCCCGGCTCCCCTCTGGAATACCTGGAATTCCCTGTTTCCCTTCTGGAACTACCTGGAATTCCCTGTTTCCTCCTCTGGAATTCCCCATTTCCCCCCTGGCTCCCCTCTTGGAATTACCTGGAACTACCCAGAATTCCCA